GTATTATACATGAGATCCTATTATACATGAATAAATACGGGTTAAAATCTGCACAGGTCCGTTTTTTTCCCTGTGTGAAGTTAATGCAGTTAGCTGCTGGCTACGTCTAGCTTAGCATTAGCTATCACAAAAATAAAAGTGACCAAATATTTCTGTAATTTACAGCATCTGATAAAGTGCACAGAGCGATCAGCCTGTGATTTTATCAGCAAAAATAAAATGATAATATCAGAAAAGTTTTTTTTTAGCAAAGTATAAATTTATTGCATCCTAAAAAATATTGAGATCAGTATTTTGTCAGATTAGTTTCAGCATAAAACAGAGAAACCAGAACAAATACTGTCGCCATCTGTTATTTATTAATGTTATTTCATGGTATTTTCTTCGATTTTTACAGCTGACTGACTTCAGCTGGCAGTAAAAATAAATAAATAATCCATCTTCACATCTTATAATTCAGCAGCTGAGAGTCAGGGTCAGCAGGTAGGGACAAAGCTCTGTGGCTCAGGTGAGTGATGATGATGATGATGATGAAGGTGCTGCTGGGAAATTATGAATAAAATCAAAAAAGTTTACTCAAATCTATATTTATTTTAAATCCATTCTAGTCAGTGTGTGATCTTCATGAAATACATTCTGATTTAAAGGCATAATCACTTAAAAAAACAAATAAGATAAAAAATTTAAAATGCCGTATTTATTCATGTAAAATACGATCTCAAGTATAATATGATCACTTTTTGAGCTTACAAAGCGTAAAAACCTTATTAAAATAAACCTGTGTATAATACTATCCCCTCACTTTATGAATAAATTTTAGGGTTAAATTTCTAGTATTAAACATGAATAACTACAGTAATTAAAATAAACAGTATGAAAACAATATCCCCGCTTCGCGTGGGGGGATCATAATAAAGATGGATGACTGTCCATCTTTCTCAGTGTGAATACTGTAAACCAGGGCCACTCAACTGGCGGCCCGCAAGCCGGATGTGGCCCGCGATTGACTCAAGTTCGGCCCGCCAATTGGTTCATTCATCTCAAACCCCTGTTTTCTACGTTAATTGCTCTAAGTTCTTTTAGTTTAAACATAGACATGTTTGGTGTCTACAGAAGGTCAGAATCTTTGCTACAAGCTGGTAAAAACCATTTCTATATAAATATTCAAGACAGTTAAAATTACAAGAAGTTGAAGATAAAACTATGAAAGTGAAAATAAAATTGTTTTAAAAATTTTGGCAAATCAGAGCTGTCAAAATAATATTTGTGTTAAATAGGAGGCAGAATGTGTTCTGTTTATTTATCACTAGTTTTATAGGGTTCTGTATGTTCATAATTAAATGCAGCAAAATAAACCATTTCAAAGGTAACATACATTTAAAATACTTGGTTTATTTACATAATGACTTTGGCTGGGCCCCTGAGCTGTTGACCTGCAGTAACTGTGGCTCCCGGAGCAATTTAGTTGAATATTCCCGCTGTAAACATTTAGGAAATGTAATCTGTATACAATAACTGTGGTTAATACAGACATAGCTGCACATCTGGAAAACAGTCATTTCCTCCCAGCATTAACACATTCAGATTAAAGCATAAATTAGTATTAATCTCATTGGAACGTTCCTGTGACCGTGGTATAATCCCAGCTGATTACTCTGTAACAAAGTGTGGATCAGATTAGATTAAAAACTTCTCTTCCACTCTCACACTCCCGATGTGTTCTGCTTCACTCCGTTTGGTTTGAGTCGCTCTGCGTTTGGTCCAGTCTGACGGATGCTGGAGCATGTCCTCTGTGTCTGTGTCACATGTTGCCACTGGGGGGTGGAGGTGGGTGGGGTTCTGCTGGGTGGGGGGCGGGTTCTGAGTGTTGTCCGTTGGCATGGCAACCTGCGGCCCTGGTCCAGTGTGGAATGGCGTTGAAGGAATGCGGCGGGGGCGGGATGCTGCCTGCATGCTGGCTCGGTTCTGACGCTGCGCATGGTGGTGCTGTTGGAGTCCGCGGGCCGGGCAGCATGTGGACCTCCCCTTGTTTCACACAGTGGCCTGTCAGTAACGGTTAGCCCTTCTCTCCTTTCCACCCCTGCCTGGCTTTGTAAAGGCCAACAAGCAGGTGGGTTGTCATGAAGACACCGCGCCCTCCTCTCCCTCCCTCCCTCCGCCCATCACAAGTAGGAGACAGACCACATACTGACACAAACACACACCAGGGACGGTTCTAGGTTCCTCATGTCCTTTCCTAATGAGGTTCCTTTGCAGATTTTAATTATTGTAGCTCATAAATAAAAAAAATAAATTAATATTATTTTAATAATTTAATAGTATTTTGTAAACATGAATAAATGAGTCTTTAATAGTTACATAAATTATTGAACAAATTGTACTGTGTAAATCAAACAGTGCAGTTCAAAAGATTTTACGCCAGTAGTTTTGATGTGCAGTCCTGAAATGTGGGTCTGCACTTAATGTAATCAAAACACTTTGCTGAATCTTCCATCAACCATGTAGTATTTAGAGGTTTGGGTGTGGTGGTCATTAGGGCTGTGCGGTATATGTGAGAGATGGTAGAAACCATATAAAGTTGGCCTACGGTAGAAAATGACCCTCTGCCGTCCTGTCATCAGTTACATCATCGCGCCTGTCAACAGGGCTGTGAGCGCAGAGACAACTGAGCAGGAGGACTTCCAAATATTCTGAAAATAAATGAAGAAATACGGTGTTTTAAAACACGTATAGAGAATAAATCCTCAAAATTTCCCCCTCCCGTTGTAGAAAAGTTACGTCATGTCATGGGATTGTTTTCTCCCTCCCTCCCGCTGCACGCCGCGCAGAGCGAAGCTTTAACAACCGTAGTTTTTTACACCCAAGTTGTCGGAGAAAAAAACTTGTGTTTTTATGTATTGTTACTCACAGAGATGATAAAAAAAGATGTGGATGTTCAGTCATAAATCCATTTTGTTAATGTAACAGTCGGCTTCTGCTCTGAGCGCAGCAGAGCAGCAGCTAAGTTCAGCTCGTTGTATGGCAGGCAGATATTACATTTATTTGGTTTCACCACACTTACATTCCAGTTTTCTGAAATTGTTTTATGACAGGACTATGTGCAAGGCCCTGTCACATTATAACATTTTAGGCAAATTGTGCCAACTTAGAATTTTTTTATGTCTAAGTTACTAATTTTACTTGAAGAACTGGTTATGACATCCACTTTATTTTGATACTGAAAATTTGAGAAACCGTTTTGTAATATATATAAAACATTCCTTTATACTTCCGTTATGTTCATTTGCACTACAGCAAAAAATGCTGGGTTTGATTATGATTACAGTTTTCTTCAAAACAAATGCTCTAAAAATTACATAACCTTTGCTTTTCATGAAAATTTTCTACTGCGAAATATACTGTTACCGTGAAAGGATTCACCGTGAGGTCATACCGCCCAGCCCTAGTGGTCATACAACCTTACCAAACAAGAAATAATTATGTAGCTAGACATTTAAAATTGGTTTATGGGAATAGTTTGGTTAATAGTCTTTTTTTTTTTTTTTTGCGAGAATAGGTTTATTACACCAGAAGTGATTATGTTTCATTATTTAATCAGTCTTTGGTAGAACACTTTGTGCCTTCATGCAGGACCTGATGCACTGGCACATTTCAGAACTCTTTGTTCTGTCTGAGAACAAGCTGTCAGGGAAAAGAGACAGGTTTAGTACAAAGATGTATTCGTTACGACCCACACATACAATTCAGTATTGAGATTAAAGAAACTCAAATCTAGCCCTCTAATATTAAAGGTTACTGTAAATCCAATCCCCTATGTAGCTTTTTTTTTTACTCTTGTCTGAACTTAAAAGGTTGAAAAACCAGCGAGTCTCATGTTTTAAAAGTTTAGAAATCCCCACTTCCTGGTTGATGTACTGTCTAACGGAGGAGGACGAGGGAGGGCTCTGGAGACCCTCTGAACATCTCCACTGCTACTCTTTACAGACGAGATGAACGACCATCAGAACACGCTGTCCTACGTCCTCATCAATCCTCCTCCGGACACCATGCTGGAGCTCAACGACATCGTGTAAGACAGGCTTTTTACTTTTACTAACGTCCAGTTTTGTGTTGACTGTTTGTTGCTGCACACATTTCTGCAGGGTCGCTGTAAATAAAAGTACTCTAAATGAATTAAAATATAATGTTAACACTCCACGGTTATAAATAAAGGGGAGCAAGTCAGTAAAACATAATACAACCTTGTAAAAAGCTACTCATCATGTACCCAGTAAGTAGCTGGTATACACTCTACTGGCTTTAAAGTACCTGTGACATGCATAAAAAGTCAAAGAAAACATTTTTATGTTTAAGAAATTTGGCACAGTACAAATGATTTTACCCATTTTGTCACATAACTGGCATATTTTCTTTTGGACTTGGCTCAAAGTGAAACAGGAAGTGACATCAAAGGGGAACTTTTTAAGAAAATTAACTTTCCATTCGTGGTTTTTTGTATTAATATTATTTGAACTCTGACTCTTTATCTCTCTGATAGTGACTCAAAATAATGTAAAATGCACCAGATTCTTCTCTACAGTCTGTGTTGTCAGCTGTTGACTTATAGACATTCCCCTTTGACATCACTTCCTGTTACTGTGCAAATATCTCAAAAACTGTTCATGTCAGTGGTGTGTTTTTTATTTTTTTATTTTTTTGCAATATGTTATTAATGTTATCTTTCCAAAAATGCTTTCATGTTTATTACAAACATTTGAAGTCAGAGGCACTTTAAAACGTGTTGCAACTAGTATCTGAAACCCAAACATTGTTTAATCCGTGAGAAACCCTGGCAGGTTGATGATACCATAAACTGACAGGACAAATAATATGGGTTTTTGTCCTTCCAGGTACATTATCCGCTCTGACCCACTGGCACATATGCCAGAGGACTCACAGATGGGACAGGCTCGCAACACCAGGAACCAGCAGGACTTTGGTACAGAGACAAAGGATGAGACCCACCTTTGAAACGATCTGTCCTCGACGCCATGACTCTTAACCTCAAAGCCCCTACAGGGCCGACGGGAATCGTGTTTCACACAAACAAAGGCTTCGATGAGCCAATGAACAGCTGTTCACAGTGAATGTGCTTTACGTGTCTCTCAACCTCAGACCGGAACCAATCTCCATCTTTACAGGTGGCCCTGAGAGACCTGATGTTTTCCACGGAGCTGCTAAAGGAGGATGCATGAAGAGTGCCTAGTCATTGACCACGACGACTCGCAAAACACCCGCCATAGTAACACGTAGTCCTCGTAAAACTGAGAACCTGAAATCCTCTTCCTCTACCCCACAGACAGGGTAAAAACAAAAAAAACATTCTCTGCAAATTCCTGAAACTATTGCATCATAGAACTCCACGTTTCATGCCACGACTCAGGCAGACTCTTTTCGCCTGTTTCTGCCTACACTTAAAAAATACCTGGAACTTGGGGTAACTAGAACCTAAACGAATCCTACACATCTTACAATTACAATGTTTTTTAAACTCACTTAAATGTTTTTAATTTTTACCTTGTGAAGAATTTAGCAGGAACTTGCACTTTTTTATTTATTACATGCTCTAATTTATTCTGTCAGACTTATCAAACAGGACCGGGATTTATTTTGTGAACAAGCACAAACCTTTCCTTTCCCCCCCCAGTGATTGCACACCTTGTAGTGGCACCTTTTATTAGCCAAGTCAGCATTTTTCCCCCTCTTCGGTTGTGCTCATTGGAAACTGAATATTGTTAAAATATTTCACTGTCAGAACTCTTGTCTGCTCCACAGTACGTGCCATTTTGTGTACCCTTTTAATTTGTAAATATTGTTGTAGTATTTATTCATGATTTGCCATGATGCGTCTGTTTTTGTGGAACCGATGTTTTCCATTTCAGAACCTGACTGAAACAAATGCTGCTGCAGCAAAAAGAAACTGTTACATGAAAGTTTGTATGAAGAATTCATTTTTAAAGTTTGTTTTAGCGTTCAGAAGCAGCTGTGTGTTGCATTACACTATTGATCATATGGCTCATTTTGAGTTTTTAGAAGCTGCTTTTGTCTGACATTTGAGCTAYTTTTGTTTGAGACAAAAAAATGTATTTATTTGTTTTCCACCTGTAAAACATCACTGGATARTTAATTAGTATGGTTGAGGAAGCTATTTTGAAAATTTACTAAATTGAAAGTAAGACTTGAGTTTAGAAAAAAATCTGAAATTTTTGCATTCGTGAGATTAGTTTAGCTTAGCTTAGCATGTTGTTACWGGAAGCTCAAAGTGGCTAAAAGCTAAACTTTATATTTCTGATTTTTACTGAATTCATTGTTTTTTCCCCCATAATTTCTTGTTAAAAGATGTTTTTTTAGAACAACCTAAATCTGTTTTGCATTGTTACATTGCAGTGTTTCTGCTAAGCTAAGCTAAGCTAAGCTAAATGTAGCTTCATGCCTACTTTTAAAAGGTGGATGTAACCACTGTAGCATCATACTGGTTCATAAACTGCCATTTTAAGACTGAGATTATCTTTTTTTAATCTTGACCCTTTTGGATACTAAAAAATTTAAGAAAAATCTTTTAGACTAAATATTTATTTGATAGATAGTTAGCATGTTCAGCTTCTATTAACCTCGCTAAAAGATTCTATGTGACTGGAAAATAAATATCTTAATCTCACAGAATATCAATGTGAATGAAAATTTTTAGTATTTTTACCAGATTAGTGAATAATTTGAATAGGAGTCTACAGGAGGCCAACATGTTGCACTTTAACTTAGGCAGATCCTGTGGTTACATCCATCATGAAGGCAGCCATTTTTAACATGTAATACTCAACATATCACTGTTATTTTTGACAGGTTCATATCAACTGTTTTAATTCTGACATCTTAAGTGATAATTGTAATAATCTGCATCAGTTAATGCAGTTTTGTTCCACTTCGCTGGTTTTATCTTTGAGTTTTCTCGTTTGAAAGAGAACTAGCAGGATGTTTTGCACAGAATCAAGTCTTATTGTTCGTGATGCATTTCCAATTTTATCTTGGAAAGAAGGTATTTTGTGTTGCTGCAGGCCTTTTATTAGAGGAATGCAACAGTGTCAGTGTTTTTGAATAAGTGCATTTTCATCCGTCTCTTAGGTTTACTCACTGTAAATAAGAACTTTATACGGTTCTTGTCATGAGAAATGAAGAGAACTTGAACTATTTTTGCACTAAGCTCTGTGGCGATGTGTATACAGCATGACCCTTTAATCTAAATTTGTAGAACGMTGACAGTATTCAGTCCATTCATACATATAAAACAGTCAACTCACAGGAACTCATCATGAGTCACCCTGCAGGTTTTGGCAGAATTTTTTTTTTTCCAGCGAGGCATTTCTCTTTTTCATCTCAAATAATCCCAAAGCAATGGAAGATGGACTGTTTTGTTTTTGATACGTGGGGGGTTTACAGAATCACACTAGATCTTTGCCTAACTGTTCCTTAAACATGTCAGTTTTCAGGACAAAGGAGCCGAGCAGAGAAAACCTGCAATGAAGGATAAATTCATCCACTCATCTTCTAAAGTCCTCACTAAAGTCTGATATCCAGACTTAAAAAAAAAAAAAAAAACTAAACAAAAGAAGGGCATGTTGTCTCTTAAAAGCATGTTTTGATAAAAAAGCTTGCCAAGAAGGAAACTTTTCAAACAGTTAGCAGGACATTGCTCAACAAAAACCCCTAACTGAGTCAGCTGCTTGCAACTTGGAGCCATTATTTGATACTTATATGAATGGAACATGCATGTTACCAAGAAGCCAATGTACTGTGTTTACCTTCACTTTGTTTTTTTTATTTTGAGTCTTCGTCTGCAAGAGGTCAATCCATTTTGTACTATTTCTATCGAGAAATGTTCTTCTGCACAAAGATATGAACAAATAAATGCTGCATGCAGCCACACACTCTGACAAAATGGTTTTATTTGACCTCAGAATGAYAATTAGAAACCGTTTCTCTGTAAAACAATGTGTGTACTGAGAGGGTTCACAGAAAACATTTTCACTGAGGGCCACGTGAGCGTTATGACGGCCCTGGAAGGACTAGTTGTAAATTATTTTGAGGTTTGTGTTTAACTTTGACTAAACGCCTTATTTGTCGTATTGCTRCGGCTGAGCACGACTAGCAAACAATAACTGAGCTCTGCCTGGTATTTCTTTCATCGAAAAAGTTAAACACTGAAAAGTGCTGCATGTACAACTGGCTAAGTGTGGACTAAATACAGAAACACTATTAAGTTTTWTTTCTTTTTAGTTTTACTCACTGTTGAGTTGTGAGTAGCTGCTCACTTTAATTCTGAACTTTCCCACATGGGATTCCCACTAGCGGAGTGTTCCAGTTTAAGTGTACGATTTGTAAGTGGGAAATTCCCACTTCCCTGTCAAAGCAAAAAAATAAATAAAATAGCTGGCGAAAATGCATTTAATGGAAAATTTACATTTTGCTGGCTGCCAACTACTTTTAAACCCTGTGCCCCTCCACCTAGTGGTGGGATGCTGTCATTTTGTGGGTAAAATAATCAGTGTTGTATAAAGTACCACAAAATGATACATGAGTAAAAGGACAAGTATCTTGCCAAAAAATTACTTTGGTAAAAGTTAAAGTCTCCTTTAGGAATATTACTTGAGTAAAAATCTTAAAGTATCTGATATTTTTTGTACTTAAGTAAAAGTATTGATTTAAAGTGAGCAGTTCGATTTTCTGTATGACATTTATTAGGAGGTGACCTCCCCAAAAAATGCAGAAATGACTATATCGTATTAAAATCATTAATTTGTTAAATTTAGGATGCACTAATCAAGCTGTTATATACATATAACGAGGCTGCCCAAACTTTTTCTCCAAAATAAAAATCTAACCGCGGGCTGCGGCCAAATGCAATAAATTAATTCATGAAATACAACTACTTCTTTAAGTACAGCCCTTTTATTTTAATGATTATGTCCTGCTGGAGTGTGACATGATTTGTTTGTGTAGAAACTTATACGGTATCAGAATTTTATATATTTATTATATTATTACTTCTCATTCAACCACAATTAAACTCACTCTATCTAGGAGGCACARTTTAWATGGATAGTATTTTTTAAAGTAACAAGTTGGAATGAAAACAAGCAAAAATGAAGTAAAAGTAACAACTTTCTACTTCCTGCCTTTTTAATAAAATGTAAGGAGTAGAAGTAAAAAAGTACAGATGCCCAAAAATTATACTTAAGTAAAGAAGTATTTGTACTTAGTCACTTTAAAACTCTGAAAATAATCAACATGCACTGTGGGAGATGTAGTTTATGGAAAATACTGGCTATAAAGCAGCTTATTTTAAAGACATTAATATATCTTTGAAGCTCTCGCGGACCATATAAAATGCAGCGGCTGGCCACAYTTGGCCCATGGGCCTTAAGTTTGACACGTGACATAATTATTTTACTCTGGAAAGTGTCTGAAACCGCTTTTTTAGAGGTTTTTAACACACAGATATAAGAGTTTAAGATGAATATAGTTTGACCTCCTAAAACTGTGCATAATGTCACACATGACGCGTCTAGTCTAACAAATGGTTCTGATAGCTGTAGCAGGTAAATGTGTTTCACCGCCGCTGCTTGTTGATGTGCATCTGCTTCCACCTTTCTCGGGTCCAGCGCCCGTTGTTCTGAGCCACCTCGTGCAGCAGGTTCACAAAGACGTACTCGTTCCCGGACAGCAGCGTTTCGTCGTCCGGCGAGGTGCCACCGGAGGGCGCCTTCGACGCGACAGCCCTGKTTTCTGCCCTCTGCCTGCTGGCCACACAACGCTTTGGCCCCTTCCTTACATCTGCCTTGCTGCTGCTGCTCTGGTGGGCAGGGTTTCCTCCACATTTCAGCTCTTCGTTGTGACGGACGTCTGCGCTCGTTTGTCTCAGAGGAACTTGGTCCAGAAGCTTTCTTTCCTCCTTTTCCAGCTCATTGACAGAAGGCCTGTTTGTGTTGAAAACAGTGTCTCTTTGGCCCATTTGAGTTTGCTCTTCTCTTTCGGGGATCTTGTTGACAATCGTCTCCACTTCGTCTGAGAGCTTCAGAGTCACGTTTTGTGTCCAAACAGCAGAACTCTCGGCCTCCTGCTCCTCTTTCATTTCACATCTGGCCCGCCACTGAGCTGCAGACGGAGGCCAGGKGGAAACCCTCCTCATAACTTTACCCCTCTGTTGGTTCTCGCCTGGACCTGGACCTGCAGTAGACTCWTCAGAAGTGGGTTTGTTCTGGACTGTGCCAATGCTCAGATAAGGATCAGTTTCAGTGTTGGCGTAAACACAGTCTGGGTTTTCATAMAGATCATCAGAATTCTCTYGTTTCTCAAACWCTGACATCGAGTCCGTGGCTGTGAACTCGTCAGAGAGGATTTCTCTTGGTTTGGTTACCAGTTCCTTCCTTCCCGGGGTTCCTGAACCGTCTGATGGAGCCTCTGTCTCAGTTTGGATGTTAACTTCATCTTTTGGCAGGCAGAATGGAGATGTGAGGATGACGGCGTTCGCAGACTTGGCTCTGACCCCGCAAAACGATTTCATCCGAGTCACCTCCGAGTACCTGATCTGAGAGCATCCTGCAGACCGGTCAGGACTTGACCTGCCCTCTTCCTCCAGCTTTTTCTCCTCCTTWTCCTCGTTCGGACATTCGGGCATCACGGTTTTCTTGCTGCGTTTTCTTATCCGCAGCCCTGCCGTGAAACATGAGGCAAGCAGCAGCACGGAGAGCACCACTGCAGAGGAGAAATATCTTAAAGCCAAGCTGGTATTTTCTCCCACAACAATYAAACTAAAGTTTTTAGAAAGAATAAAAACATACCAATCACAATAATGAGAGTGCGAACTTTTGTATCTGGGAGTTGAAATGGAAATATTAAAAAAGGCAGATTATTATTACTCAGGAGTTAAAAACAAACAAAGATAATAAGAACTGAACGTACTGGACGTGTTGGTGGGTTTCATGTCGGTGCAGTTTGTACCTGGAGGTGATGTCACATGATTTTCTGAAAACAACAACTAAACAGGTTCACAAAATCCTTCAACATCAGATAAAAGCATTAAAAACCTTCCTGAGTTTTATATAAATTATATTAAAAAATAAAAAATAAAAAAAGCGACACTAATTAAATTCTGTCTCTTTGGCGCCACCTGCTGGTAAAACACCGTTAAAGATTTTCAGGATGACTCACTGAGTTTATTACTGCAGAAACTGGACAACCAATCAGAAGCACAGTCTAATCTGATTTTTTTCATTATATGTTAAAATAAACTGATAAAGTATAACAATAAATAAACGAGAACACAACAATCCTTATGCACAAACTGTAACAAAGGAAAGAGACCTTTTCAGTGGTTAGAAATAAAATCTATTTTTAACCACATGATGGTGCTATTAGACCAGAAATTTACAGTTAAACTCAAGAAATTTACATTTGGTTCATTTACAACTCTACTTTYACATATGTATGTTAAAGAAAATTATATTAAAATTATACTACAATGATTTTAGGAAGCAGGAAGATAAAAAAAATCATACTTTAATAATTATGCTTAGCCCCAGTTAGTGATGCTAAAAGTTAATGTTGCTGTTATTTTAAGAACGAGGAAGACGTACCTGTGGATGAAGGTGTTGGTGCATCGGGGGGTTTGGTTTCTTCACAAGCCTCTGATGATGATGATGATGATGATGATGATGATGACGATGATGATGAAGGAGTGACTAAAAATCAAAGAGACTGCAGAAACTTAACATTTAAAACAATTCAAAGAGAAGAAGAGTGAAACGTACCGGGGTGAGAGGAGACTGTCGGAGGTGGAGGATCAGTAGGTCTGGACTGAAACGGGGTTTCAGTCTTTGATGACGGGTTTAGAGGACTAGATGACTCAGGTTTTGCTGCAGGAAGCAAAGAGACTGTTTTTGACCCATTTTGTAAATACAAATATCTTAMGAGGATTTACTTTGAAGCATCCAAGTGAAGCAGGAAGTGAGGGAGAACAGGTGTACCAGGGGATGCGGTCGGTGTTTTGGAGGGAGTTTGTGTTGTTGGTGGACAGATGGAGACGTTCCACACAGGCTGACCCCTCAGAGGTGGAGGACTCCCACAAGTAACACCCACCGATTCATTCAGCTGATTTCGTCTCTTCAGCTCTGAGGACACGTGAAGCTTTAAGTTTGTTCTCACGTTTATAACTCACTTCCATGAATCACAAACCTTTAATGGAGGTAATGAAGTCTTCGGCATCACAGGAGCAGTTCCAGGGGTTCTTATCCAGCCTGATGAACCGGAGAGAACCCAGTGACCTGAAGATCTGCGGCGAGACCCACGTCAGCTGGTTCTCAGACAAATCCAGGTCAGCCAGCAGGATCTGGGATCTGAAACTGTTCGGGTGAATGCTTYGGATCCTGTTCTTCCTCAGGCTGAGCGCTGTGAGGTTTGTGAGTCCGTCCAGCATGGACCCGTTCAAACCTTCAACCAGGTTCCCTGCGAGTYGGAGGTCTCTGAGGACCCCAAGGTTCCTGAACCAGGTTGGACTGATCTGCGACAGCAGGTTACCGTCTAAATGAAGGAGTTGGAGGTTTGAAAAGGAGCCGAAAGCGTTTTCGGCGATTTCGGTGATGCCAGCGTCCTCACCGGTGAGGCGAGTGACTGAGGCGAGCTTTTCACTCTGCAGCACCGAGGAGTTGATTTCTCCAACATTACGCATTAAAACAGCCATGGTTGAACAGCCAGGTTCAAAGTCTAAACAGAAAAAAAATGTATTTACTTCAGCAACTCAAGCACTTACGCAACAAAAGTTCACCTCTTTTTCCAAAACTATGAAAAATCAGTGACAATTTATTGAAAATTAGTAATAAATTTTACTGCAGAAACCACWTTCTTGTGGATTTATGAAGTTTTAAAAAGGAGACATATCATGCTTTTAAATCCTTCCTATATTAAGTGCTCCATCCTCCTTGAGCAAATCAGTATCACAGCATGAYACTACCACCACCGTGCCTCACCCCGACTCCTCTAATCAACAACCTGCCTGAAACAGTAAATATTTGTAGGATGTCTCTTTAAATTCTGCTGTTTAAAATATATGTTTTCTGAGTCATGAGGTAAACTGTCGTACTCTTCTTTCAGTCCCGACTAACTTCGTGCACAAATTTGCGTTGTTGTTGAGAGGAGCAGAGCTGCTGCTGCCGGCTCTGTTCTTCCTAAAATCATGTGATTTGTGTCAAGTTTCTTAAATCTAAATGTATTCTTTGACTTTTTGCATTTGAAGGATTTGCACGTCACAGTGACTTTACATGTTTTTAATAACCGAGTAAGAAAAAGATACAGCAGCACATTTTGTAACCCACAGTTTAGTTTTTTTCAAGCAAAAATACTCTTATAAATATTAAAGAGTCTAACTGATGGTAAATATAGGTTTATATAAGTGTATTATTTAATCACTCAATCAACATTTGCTATTACATCTCTTTACAAGCAAAAAAAATGAGATGAAAAACTGAGGATTGTGAGGTTCCAACATGATGAGCATTACAAAGTTGATAAAAGCATGGCACACTCTGTCTTTCCTTCATTTAAAAACAGGAAGTTTTGTTCGAGCCACYGTTTAATGTCAACGATGCAGAAATAGGTCCTCTAAGCTTCATGGGTAAATAAATCAGAAAGTCGTCAGCGTAACAGTGGAGAAAAAAGGTGCCGCATTTAAAAAGAAAACTTCCCACAAAGTAAAATCTCTAGATGAGAGTTTCTTTAAAGTTTTGTTTCTCACTTTTCTCAATGAGACCATTTAAAAATAAACTTTCATAAAAGAACAAACACTTTATTTTTTAGTAGTTTTTACTGTGTGGCCTTGTTTTCAGACATGCCATAAAAATGAGCATTTCTGGGTTGTAAAAAAATTTATGGCAGCTTTTCTTTACCTGTTAGACAAAAGGTGTCAACGTGTCCCGTTGAGTCAGAACAGATTTACTCAAACTGAAAACGTTGTGAGAATTTGTTTTCTACTTTAAAATAATCAGCTGTTTCCAAGAAGGRTCTACATTTTTTGAAAACTGGTGCTGTATAGTAATATTTSTGAATGTAGTGAAATGTTGAAAGATTTCATGGAATTCCCATGTATTTCAATGGGAGCAAAAATTGTTCAAAATTTTTTAAAGGCACACTGTGTAGGATTTGTTGTTTTCAGCGACATCTAGTGGCTGAGTGGTTGAATCATCCTCCCTGGTCCTCCCC